CACCTGCAGCTCCAGAGTTGTCCTTTGGGTCTCAGTGGAGTGTCAGATCTTCAAAGAGGTTCCCTGTCTTCCCTCAGCCTAAATACTGTCCTTGTATTTTTCACTTTCATTGACTCATTTTGTTCTTTTTAAATAGCATTTCCCATAATTTGTAAGTACATTAAAGAGAAAAGGGCAATGATTGAACATCGCCTGCCCCACCAGGCTGTGTGCCCTGTGAGAGCAGAGGCCCTGTCCCCACTCACTGTTTCCCATGACAGCACATGGCACATGTCCATGTAAAAGTGTGTAACGTGGGGCCAAACCTGATGAGCAGCTATGACAACATGTGTTGTCTACCATTTATTGAGTAGACTTTGTTTCTGATCTTAATTATTAAATCATATGAATGAATCTTGTTTGTTTTGAAAAAATAAAACAACAAAGCACACCTCAATGTGATTGGTAATTTCTACTAAGATTTCTGACCCAGGAGGGGATGTTCACCATCATTTTGTGGAGGAGGTTGGAGAGGTAAAGTAAGAGAGTGAGATCAAATAAAGTAAAAATGATAACTGTCAGTTGGCTTTATTTTCACTGACATAAAAGTTACTTTAAACCCTATCTCAGCTGTTGTTCTGTTGTTTTAAACATTTCTCATAGAATTAAATGGAAGCCCACTAAACCCTGAAAGGGAAATTATGTGCTCAGGTCCTGAAATTTGTTTATGTCTATTTCTTGAGATGCACATTTCCCTGCTGGTTACAGAAATTCGAGGCGGGAACACAACAGTGCACTGTGTGTGTCTGCCAGCTTCACGGGCTGCTCAGTGTCATTTTCATTTTCTTGTGTTGCAGTTTAGGACGGCTTTCCATGAGATATATTGCTCAGCCTTTTCCTGAATGAAGGATTGAATTTTCCTCAGGAAATCTTATGAAAGAGAGTCACAAGGCACATGGGTTTCCCATAAAGGAATAGTTGATGTAATAAACTCTCACTATGGTGAACTTTTTTAATACAAGCCAGTTGAAAATTTTATCACTAGGTCATATGGCACAAATCCGTCTTAAGGAAAAAGATTCAAATTTTATAGAAGAAGCAGTTTGAATCAAGTAGATATTATGATTTGTACACTATTTGTTGTTAGAACTTATTCTCAGTCTTATCATAATTGTCTGTGGTAGGAACTGGATCATTATTTATTTGTAAAAATAAAATCCACTAGGTGCTATTTGCCCCATTCTTGATGCGGCAGTGCTGTGGTTAGTTAAGTTGGGCCATTTAGGAATCTTAGCTAGGTTTTCCGGACATTGATTTCAGCCTCTTTATCTTTTCTACAATCTCTTCTTTTGTGTCGGCCTTTGGTCTTTTGACAACGTGGAAATACTGCACGGATCTGCCTTTCCCTTTTTTCCTGTCTTTGTGGGAAAAGATTTCTGTAAGACAGACTACTAGGATATTAAGGATTTTGTGTGGGGTAAGTTTGGTCAGTTCTAAGGATTTCAATTAATACATATTAATACTTGTTATTCAGCTAATGGCAATAAAATTATAAGCTAACTTAAGTACACATCAGTAAGTATAGTACAATAAGCCCATCATCCTGATTAAGGAATTCACAAACTTTTCCATATTTCCTTTATTCAGACCTTTGTTCTTTTATTTGTCCTTTGTTGAAGTATTTGACAGCAAATCCAAGAAGACATCTCATTTTACCCTTTGAACTCAAGTAGGCATGTCTGAAAAATGAGGGCCTTTTCATTAATCAGGTTTTTCCATTTGACCAATGTGCTTGTTAAGTACCAGCTGTATCAGGCATCTCACTAGGCATTAGGGATCCTTGGGGCAATGAGACAGTCCTCACTCCCAAGGAAGTTAAGGGCTGATGGAAAAAATCAACACAGGAGCTTGGGTGCCTCACTTTAGGTCCCTGCTGAGTGACACCAATTGGACAAATTTGTGCACAAAACAGTAGGATTCATAGAAGGTACTGGTCAGACTTGTAGGGCAAACCGTGAGAGAGG